TGGAATGTATCATCTAAAGATTAAGCCTTTGTCCATATTGGGGATTATGTTCACCAAACCTTCCTCCTCTCCCACCCCCCAAACTGGGGTATAAATGAGAGGCACATTCCATTAGTCCTGGCCATAGGGAGACCACACATTGTTTCTTTATTTTACTTCAACTAGTAATGTTTGTATGCAGCTGGCAGATTCTTACCAAGACTTACAGCCATTGTGATGGTATTCCTGCTCAATAAATAAGACATGCAAAAAACATGCAAACTGATAAATTAGCAGTCACGCTGAAATGGCTATAATAGTGCCATTTCCCACAGCCTAGAAGGATTCAGATTTACTATTGCAATGTTTGTTTTTAACTATGCTTTGCTGTTCTGTGCAGGTTCATCCTGTTAAGCAAAATATTAATTTAACTAAGCAACACTATTTCTAAAACAGGTACCCTGGTGAGAAAGCCAAGGCAATTGTTCACATTGGTTTTCAGCTACTATTTTGAAGTAGCTAGTAGGGTTTATTCTACTTATAAAGATGTGGTCACATAATTACCAGGAAATCCCACTACATAGGTGCCTGGTGACCTGAACTCCACTCTTACACAAATTAGGTAGTCAGTGGAACACCTTGATGGAATTGAAGCATCTCTAGATTTGCGTGTACCACCCCCCTTTTTCTCTCTGCACTGTAATTCCCTGAGCTCTGCTGTGGTAGACAGAAAGGTTGTTTTTCAGCCATTCAGTTAACCTGGCTTCAAGAATTTAAAATCTCTCAAAAGGCAGGATAATCCTTTTGAATAATTGTTACTCGATCATGTTTCAACTAAGGTTTGCCAACACTGGGACACTCAGGATACTTGATCTGAATGTACTAAAAATGTGGTTCTAAGGGGATTAGCCACTCCATGGACACTTATTTGAAATGAGGAGGCCTTGCTAAGACATCATTTACTTCTAAAGAAAATTTAATGAAGTTGAATTAAGACTACTTTCAATTTGGATAAGTATGTCCACAAAGAGGTTTAATGCAGTTTAATCTATTTGAAAAGTTAATTTGGATAATTTTTCTTAAGTTCTTAAGTTTCTTACACAAGCCACTGGACTTCATCTTGGCCAACCAACAGATTGCTAAAGTGGCTTCAGATGTGTTATTCTACATCCTCCTGTGGGCTTTCCAATTGTATTAAGCCAAATTGAGAGCTAGCATAAAATGAAAATACCCCTTTCTGCCCATCAAAACAGGGCCTCAGACTGGTGAGGTAAGTGTCCTTGACTATCTGTGATTCTGTCAAAATACAGAAAAATAAAACAGTTTAGTCTTTTTAAAGAAACTGTGACTGACAAATAAATCCAGAAACAAAACCAGAGTCTGTGTTTACAAATGATGACAGTGTAAATAATGAGAACAATAACTGGAAACATTGAAACAGAGGGAAAATATGGAATGGAAGCTTATATGAAAAAGTATTAAATGTGTTTTACGTGCTGTCCCTTCTACAATGGGTCAGTACAGCAAGAGATGATGTTTCACAAGAGGGGGCCAGACACCATCATTAATATCAGCAGTGGTGAGCTGACAGGCAGGGACATCAGTTAGGGTTCCTGAACACATCCTCTACTATTTGATTAGAACATGCTACTTCAGTACTTTAACAGCAGAAACTGCTTTGATGACATTTCCCCGCTTCCAACAGACCACGCTGGTAATCAAGCTCCCTTTTGCTTTCCAAGTTGCCCATGTTCACTGCAGAGGCTGGGGGACTACAGAAGTTTGTTGCTGGCAGAACTGCCTGGCCAAATTCTTGCAAGAAAAGTAGTGGAGGAGACTGTTATAAGTAGAGAGGCACAAAGTAAACTGTTGGATATGAGCTGTGCTATCAGCTGAAAGCCAAACACCAGAGATGAATCCTTTCCAAACACTGGGGTGTTTGTCACTGGGTTCAGAGTTCTGCACCTCAGCTGTCATGCCTGCATGACTGTAGCAGCAAGAGAACACCATGGATACCCTTCTCTTTCACCATGCTTTCTGATAGTTCCTTCTCCTCTTATAGCAACCTTGTACCACGGTGGAGTCCATCCTCCTGGAAGCTCAGGGCCATGCTGAGATGGAGAGATGCTGGCGGAGGTGTTTGATAAAATCTGCTTGTGACTGTGGCAGGACATAATTGATAACAGACTTGGGGATCCATCCCTTTGAGAAAAAAACAAACCAACGTCACCTTTAAAAAAGCAAGGGTGAAAATTTCAGTGGCAAGGGGTTGAGCCTCGCTCCATTTCAGGAGTGGCTGTACTGAACCAATTGCTATGGAAAGCTGGTGCTGGATTTTACAGGCTGATGCCCTCTTTGGACAATACACCTGGTGCAGAAGGACCCTTTTCCTAGATGCTGAACCAGCTTGGTCCCACCTTTGCAGCAGCACCCAGGGCAGACATACAAACATGGACCAGAGGAGGGAGGGAAAGGAAGCTGGGATCAGACCTCTTCTCCAAGAGCAAATCTGTAAAACAGCAAATCTGAAGAACAAAGCTGCAATCTCTCTTCCCTCATCTCCTTCTCCTGTGCCAGTCCAGAGTTGGACCTTCCACAAAGGGCAAACCTCTGGGCCAGATTATACTGGAGAAAAGTGTGCTATGCCCCTTCCTAGGCTTCCTGAGGGCATAACCAGCCTTGCTATCTACCATTGTTAGTGCGATGCCTCACTGAGACATCCAACACCTGAGGTAACTAACTGCCTGGGCATTAGTCATGACAATCCATTCTCCAATTCCCAGAAATCATTGCTTCAATGTCTTCCTCATCTTGCACTTCTCTCTCCCAATAAGTACCATATAGTACCTTATATCTTATAAGCTTCGTCAATCTTAGGTAAGAGACTTGAACTTACCTTAAGGTCCATGCTCAAGAGCCAGGTGAAGCGGGTCTGCATTGGGTTCTCTTCCAGTGGCTGCAGAACGATGCAGCTGAGCGTGGCCTCAGCCCTGGTGGTTGGAGGGAGACAATGGAACTTAGATAATTTCCTGTGAGAGCCTGGACCTTCTGATGGCTACAATGAAGCACCTCTAACCAACTCCAGAGTGGCACTAGTAAAGTTGGTCACTCTGTATTACTCCCTTCCAGCCCCTATGAAACTATGAAATGACCTATGTTCTTCATGACACTCTTTCTCAATCTAGTAGGATACTTTGGGATTAATTAAGTAAAAATTGATTAAAATACGTTTATGGAAATCTAAAAACAGTTTGGCTGGCCATTGAATTGAACATGTACCTGTTCTCAACCTTAGCAAGCTTCTCATCTCATTAGTCACATTACCCTAATCCTCCACTGATGTCTGTGTGGCCAGAACTCTGCATCTTTGCTACAAATGGGACCCTGCATGGGTTCAGGAGGATGCTTGTACATCTATCATAATAACATCAGGCCCCTACTTTTATGTAAATTCCATGTTCATGACAAATGAGAGGCTGGATCAATTGTACAGGTTAGAAAACAGACTCAGCAGGATACATCTGTCCCAATCTGCACCAAATTTCTCTTCCTGTCGTGTCCTTGCCGCCAAAATGCTGAATTCCTGAACTCAGTATCTTCAGGCCTATCTCAAATTTAGGCTGCTTTTGTCTTTAGGCCTGGGTCTGTTATGGGCACAAATGAGAACTGGGCTTCTGATTGCCTTGGCAAAACAAGAGGAAAAGTCTATTTTTTAACACTGAAACTACCTTGCAATGGTTGGATTTAAACTTTTTAGAAAAGTCATTTGTCTGTGACCCTAAATGTATGTCGCATGTACTTGCATTTTACTGACATTTCATGCCCGAAGCTCTGTAGGGAAGATGCATCTCTTGCATGCTCAGTGTTTTTACTGAATAGTGGAGGCACACATCCCTGTTACCATTCATTCAGTCTTTACCTGACTCGCTCCTCCTGCAATGGGATAAGCTCCGAGTAGGCTGCAGTGCCAACCAAATACACTGCTGTCTCTTTCTTCCAGCAGCGCCGTATGTTGACAAAGTCCCTTTGGCCAACAAGGTTCCCGGGGCTCTGACTTGCAATTTCATGAGTCAACAGGGTGTCCTTCCCAATTCTTTGTAGAATCTGGAGCCAGAACAAAATACAAAGAGCTGGAGGGAAACTTGTAAATCAAAAAATGCAAACACCATGCAATCTAGGAGAAAATGGTACCCCTTGAACAACAGCCCAGGGACCCATTAGTTATTTTGTTCTCTTAATGTCACTTCCTGTAGCAAATTTCCTAACAGCCACCCATGTATCAGAAACAAATGCTCATTCTGTTTGACTACACCTTTCCACAGCTGTGTGATGTCACTCTTATATACTTTGACCTCTCTGTGATGCAGATGTGGAATGTTCTAATCTTTCCTCCTATTCTTTTCTAAAGTTGCAGAAATTGAAGGCTGTATATAAAATAGTGAAGGCTGGACTTTACTCCCTGTTTTTTCCTTCCTTGTCTACACCAAATTGACTGTGTAACTGGGATAGCATTACCCAGTCTCAAACAAGGCAATGTAGGGGTTAACACCATCTTCCTCAGTAAAGGAAAGAGGGCAGCTGCAAACTCCAAATGCAGGCCTGACAGGCTACTTAATTATCCAGCTGTGAATAATTAAATAATCTTCCCAGCACACTATAAAGGAGGAGGTGTTCCCAAGCATCTGGGTTTGCTCGTATTAGAGGAGTTACGTGCTCTAGAGGCTCTGAGAAGTGTTTAGTACCTCATTGATCAAAGAAGAAATGTGATTAGTTAGCACAATGTTAGGGCTTGGGCAGCCAGCTTAGATACATCTATCATGATATCATTTCATTTAAAGGAAGCAAAGGAATGTTTTTAATATCAAATAGCAGTAGATGAGTGGAAACAAGCTGAAGCGGATAGAGTGTACTGTGCAACTGCAGTGACCTGCTTGGAAGATAGCTAGGAATATGACCTGCGCTGTAAGGGAAAAGCTGTTTATAAAGATTCCTGATTAGTAACCTGATAAGCTCAGGAGATGACAAATTATAGGGCAAATCAAATAAATCCCAAAGGGTTTATTCTAGACTAAAATGCACTGAAACCCTAGCCCTAGTGCATGGACTTCTGTGCCTTCCACAAAATCCATTCTCAGTGCTTTGCCTCTCTCACACATTATGGCATTGCTAGTGCTGCGCTCTCAAGAGAACTGAACATTCATAGAAAATGTCCTAGGGTATGAATGGTAGTGCTGTGGTCTCTATTAGCCAGCTGGGACATACTGCAGCAGGTTTGACTATTCATCCTCTCTAAATGGAGACTGACCTCCCTGGTCTTTCAGGTCCATCTCAGAAGACTATTACGTTTGAGGCTGCTGGAGAAAAGTGGCCAGGTTGTCTGTATTGCAAGCTGAAGACAACTTAAAAAGTTTTGGTTGTATAGTCTGAGTCATCCTCCAAGGGACTGTCAGTACTCTAAAGTGCTTTCCCAGTATGACTGTGAACTTTGGGATTTACACAGCAGAGTCTTTGTGATGCACCTCCTTGCATATATTGGTTCCCTTAGTTAATTAGGACCCGAATTAGTTGATGGTTGGGCTACTTGATGACCATAAATAAATATTGCCATTAAGCTGTCTATATAGGCAACTGACAAGTTGCAGATCATGTCAGCATCTTCCTTCCATATACAAATAATCCTGTTTTCCTTGACAGGATACAAATAAACTAACCGTTTATCACATGCAGCAGGGGGATGACCCCCCTCATTCTCTATGAAAGCCATTATTGTTCTCACAAACCCTTCATTAATTTACTTGACCATGATGAATATAGTAATATTAGTTTCCTACAGTGAGGAATTATTTAGTTATTCCAGTATCCAATATAAAAAAAAGTTCTCTTAAGCTCATTCTCATGCAAACTTTCCTCTCTATCAAAATTCTATGCCTGGGTAATTGTTCAATGCCTTTTCTGTATTTATTTTCCTATCAGGGCTCTCTCAAAGGTACAGTAGGTGTATGCATCAAGCTTCACTTCACTTCAGTTTCTAAGTGGCTTGACTCCACCTTCAGAATTTATTTAATGGCTTTTCTATCCCTGTGACATCATCATTCTGCAGCACAGAAAAATCTTAGAAACCAAGCACCACTGAAAAAAGAACTACAGACAAGCCATATGACTGTTTAAGGAGGTGTGGTTAAATACATCTTCTTTCTGTGAGATTATATCCTGACCAGTTGGGGGAATGATGCCTATTGTTAATACACCTGTTTTGAAATTTGTCTGCAGGAGAATTGGATCCTATCTAGTTTCATATTATCCTTGGTGAGTGGTGTATTTAACCAGAGGCAAATTCTCTTAGTACTCAACAATCAGCATTGCCTGCCTGTGGATTGCTGAGTGAAGCTTTCAGTGGTGCTTTTGTCTCACAAGGCTCTCAGTGGCTCAGAAACGACCTACCTGAGAGACAGCTGCTTCCCCCATGACATACTGCACAGCTGAGCTGAAGCCCTACTGACTTCTACCTCAAGGTGCTGGAGCCCACATGGTTTTAGAATATGCTGCCCAGTGCCTGGAAATAGTCCAAGCTGATGATCTTTAGGATGTACTGCAAAGCTTATCTTTTTAATCAGGCACTGAAAGTGGATTGGAGGGGTTGGGGAGGAGGCTGCAAGGAATGACGGAGAAGAGGAGATCTGAGCTGGTGGATGTACCTGGTTTACTGGTGGAGAGTTCTCACTTCAGTTATATTCAAGTACCAGTTTGGTTGACTTCAAATTGTGGCAAGGACTTCAAGAACATTATTATAAATATGGGTAAATACACACAGAGAGGTTTGGGGTTGGCTTTTTGAACAGGTGAATGAGAAGAACCGAGACTGTACAAAAGATGGATCCATCTCTCCATTTACCTTGACTTGGCTGAGAGTAGGGTTCCACTCAGGCATTCGTTCCAGGCTCTCAAACAGCTCATGGTACAATTGGTCCATTGGAACAGCCAACACCCCCTCCATTCGGAAGACTTTGCCAAGCTGTGGGATGACTGTACTCAGCACTGCATCTCCATTTCCCTGGCAAGAAAGACAGCATAATGCTGTGATCCTAATAAAAATGATGTAGGTAGAGACACTACAAGAAAATAAGAGATCTCAGGACTCAAGTATGATGTTTAACATGCTCCCCATCAGATCATTCACAGAAGAGCACCAAATTACTCACTGAAAAGCCTTTTAAATAAATGATGTGGATCCTTTCTTTAATCACTCTTTGCTTTATAGCTGCAAATCATTATACTTAAATCATGTCACTGGTATTTTTTTTTAATATTCACCACTAGGGATTCATCCAGTCCAGCTACCTTAAACTGTTCTATCACAGATCTTAATAAACACACACACAAATAACAAAATCAGAACATATCAGTGATTTGGTGTCTGTTAATTTAGTACCATCAGCATTAACTTTCCTTGTAGATGATTGCCTGGCCTTTCTCTTCAAAGCCTTTTCATCTTGTCTCTTTATTTAATGAATTTGTGGGCATGTGCTTAACACACTGTTTCTTGGAAGATGCATCTGTTTCCTTATGTGTTCAGTGTAACATAGAACAATTTTCTTTAAACACTCATTATTTACCCACACTTGAGATCCTTCACACACATCATCTACCCTGACAATTACACCCTCACTTAAGCACAGCTTTTGCCCTATCAAATTTAGATGTGATCTTTTCCATGCACATACACATGGAAATGCCACAGACATTTTGATCTCTCTTTCCAGTTGCTCTTTCAGTACTGGATTTGTGGTCTTGAAGGGCTTCTGTGGTGGAAGCATTGCTGAAGATGATCTTAAAAATAGTAATGGGAAGTGACTGAAGCTGATTCCATCTAGCCTACCCCCTCACTCAAGGTTTTCTTTATCAGAAAAGTGTTTTGGACTACAGTAGCAAAGGTAACAAATGCTAGGACTTTACCTGCTTTGTTTCTATCTGCCAACCATTTTGCTGCTGCAGTATCTCCATTGCCCTGTGCAGGGTAACTTCTCCTTGATTCACATAAGACAGCTCTGTGCTTGAAAACCAGTCAGAGCTGATGCCAGTGCCATGTTCCCGAGTCCCAGCTGCAGGATTAACAACAAAGGAATTATTCATGAATGCTAAAAATCATCCTTATTTTTGTTTATATGCCATTAGATAGTAGTTATCTGCGGTCTTCATTTGCTTACATATGGCATTACATCATGCCCTAAAGATAGAAACGGATCAAAACTGGAATTGCTCAGCTCTAGTTCAGCTTGATAAAGTAGATCAGAAGCGGATACTGTATGTGACACTTTTCACACATTGAGGAAATCTGTATTTGAATATCTTTGGTTGCAGCCATCTGCAGTTTAACGTACTGATAATCATCCTGTTGCTAGCTTAGGTTTTTAGTTCTGATGTTATTAGAAGGCTGTAAGTCATGGTCATGACACCACAGCTGTAGAATAAGACATTTTTAAAGACTGTGAAAAAAGATTTTGTCACTTTTTTAACAATAGCATTGACAATATCCAAATAAATGGACATCAACAATATGCTGAATGACTTAGTCACCTCAGCATCATCCCATCGTTCCACAATGAAATTGAACTTTGTGGAAATAAAATTGCTCAGTACAAAAAACAAAACAAAAACACCTTAAGTCAAAGCAAATGCTCCTTTTACAGCAGGTTTGATTGGACAAAATGTCTCAAAAGGATGTTGCATCTATATCTGTTTCCACCATGTTGAAAAATGCTTCTAAGTATGATGTATAAACTCAGTTTCAGTGGATACAGCTGTGTTAGGCAGTGTGGATGAGGTTACATTTGATAAAAGTAGCTAAAACCCACCCCCAGTGCTTAGTTAGTTGTGTGAAATGACTGAAAAGTATTCTTGAAAGCAATGTTTTTAATTTGGCCCCCCAACAGCAATAAGGTAGAAATGTAATGTAGTTATATAGGTGCTTTTTATCGGCTTTACGTATATACACCATATTTCACATTAAGCAAGGGCTCTAAAGAACAAGGAAAACAGAGTCCTTCTTGAAATCACTTGGTAATTTATTTATGCCAAGAGACACCATATACATAACAAAGCACTGTAAAATGGACTTTACTTAAAGGTTTTGGACTTCATTTCTGATAGGTTTGTTTGGTCTGCCCTTCGAAAATCTCAGGACCATGGTTACTACAAAAATTTGTGACTGATGGCCAATATTGGGACTGCTATAAATTATCAAGACTTGCGATATGGAGCAACCCCTGGGAATAGGAATGATCCCACAGAAGTGATAAACAGAACCCTTACCAGTATCTTTCCACATTAACCTCTGAACATAGCTGGGAACTTTAGAAGAAAGACAGTGAGATCCTTTTAACATAATTCCTTGCAGGTCATGCCCAATAGCTGCCATAGCTGTTCTTTTCAGGCCTACAAGAGACAAACAGCAACACACTCTGAAAGCTATTAAATGCACAACATTCAGCAGGAAGGCACATTGGCTTGATGACTGATGCAGAGTTCTGCAAGTGAAAACAACACTGATCAGCGGCATTCGCTAACTGACTGATGGACTGATCTTGGGCAAGTCATTTGTTTGCCTTATGCCTTAGTGCTTTGAGAAAAATGAATATTGATTCATGCATGAGAAACACCATGGGTGTGATTTGTTATTTTGTTCTGGCCATGGGAGAGTAGCAGGTACTATTCTGAAAGGGGGAGAAGTTGGTGAACTTCCAGTTACCAAGGTGGTCGAAATGGTGTCAACGTTTCTCAGTGAAGAGAGATGTAAATCTTTGACCAAAAAATAATTTTAAAAAATTCTGTTTTGTGACCAGCTTTATTTCTTTTGGGAAAATACTGCGTATCAGATGTTGTGACATTTTAAAATGAAAATGTCCCCACATTTGCAGTTGGCCCATGTGGTACTTCTCTGAGTAATGTGCAGTCAAATATGGGACAAAGGCTCAAAGACTACAAAACAATTATTTAGCATCTTAATACAATACTGTGGGATTTCTTCTTTGGGGTAAAAGGTTATTTCTATAATCTCAACTCTTCAGGCTACTTTATCTATGTTTACAAATAACTTTCAACAGTAAAAGTGAGGAGAACATGCAGGAATTTGAGAAGTGTCATCCTACAAAGTATGGGAATTGCTCTGACAATATTTTTAATGACAAGAAACTGCCAGTAACTTGCATATGTAGATCAGATTGATAGATTCATATGACTTAAGGCTAGAAGAGACTATTATAATGATCTACTCTGACCTGTGACATAGCAGAGAACCTCTTCTAATAATTCTTGCATCAAGCCCATAATTTCTATTTGAACTTAACACATCTTTCAGAAAGACATCCAGTCATAATTCAAAGTAATAGAGAATCCACCATAGTTTTTATCATTCCAGGTTATCTACTGATACACAGACACAGGCTTTCAGCTCTCCTCCTGGTAATTGACTGGAAAGGCAATGTCTTTCTCTACATCTGAATTAAGTGCAGATGGATTCCCTAGGACTATTGCAGGAAAGTCCTAAATTGGTCTTCCTTGTCCACTGCAATCCCTTTCCACTGACCAAAAAAAAAAAATCATTACATTTTTCTAAAGAAAATGCATTATTCCATAGGTGTCAAGAATATACAGAAATATATTCAGTGGGTAATGGAAAGGAGTGTGACTTTTTCAGTATATCTGAAATTTACTTCTCTTTAATATAAAGTAATGAAAGCTGCAGTATATAATATTTATCACATTAAAGAGTATCTATCTTCAGTTATTGCATCATATTTCACTGAGCTTCCTCACTTCACTACAGTACTGCCTTGCTGCCTTGTTCTTCACCTAACCTATTAATCACTGTCTATTAACCTAGTAACTTTTCCCTCAAAATACATCCTCTTCTGGTATACTGCTGAAGGAAGCAACAGGCTACAATCTGACCTAGACAGGTTACAAGGGTGGGCGGATGAGAATAGGATGGGTTTCAACACAGACAAGTGCAAGGTGCTGCACCTGGGGAGGAATAACCAACACCATACCTACAGGTTGGGGAACTCCCCTCTTGTCAGCACAGAGGCGGAAAAGGATCTTGGAGTCATCATTGACTCCAAGATGAACATGGGTCGGCAGTGTGGGGAGACAGTTAGGAAAGCCAACCGTACCTTGTCATGCATCCACAGATGCATCTCAAGCAGGTCAAAAGAGGTGATCCTCCCCCTCTATGCGGCACTGGTCAGGCTGCAGTTGGAGTACTGCGTCCAGTTCTGGGCGCCGCACTTCAAGAGGGATGTGGACAGCATGGAGAGGGTCCAGAGGAGGGCCACTCGCATGATCAGGGGACAGCAGGGCAGGCCCTATGAGGAGAGGCTACGGGACCTGAACCTGTTCAGCCTCCAAAAGAGAAGGCTGAGGGGGGATCTTGTGGCCTGTTATAAACTAGTCAGGGGGGATCAGCAGGCATTGGGGGAGTCACTGTTCCCCCGAGCACCGCCAGGAGTGACCAGGAATAACGGTCACAAGCTGGCAGAGGGTAGGTTTAGGTTAGACATCAGGAGGCGCTATTTCACGGTCAGGGTGGCTAGGGTCTGGAACCAACTTCCAAGAAAGGTGGTGCAGGCTCCTACCCTGGGGGTTTTTAAGAGGAGGTTAGATGAACACCTTGCTGGGGTCGTTTGACCCCAGTACTCTTTCCTGCCATGGCAGGGGGTCGGACTAGATGATCTGCTCAGGTCCCTTCCGACCCTAGAAACTATGAAACTATGAAACATGCTGCACTTACTTCAAAGTGGAGCAGTAGCTCTGCAGAACAGTGCAACATGTTACCTTGCACTAAGGAAAATCAAAATCCTGGGCATCTTGGTGCACTGCCCCTTGCAACAATTGTTAGACTTGAAAGGATTTGATTTCTGTTGATGAATTTCAGCAGATGCTGATATTTATTTTCCAACATTTTTAAGTTAAATTTTTTGTATCAGAAGATATTTCTTACTTCCCCAACAAAAGACTACCTGTTGCTTACTGTACGTATAATGACTGTAGAAGTCATGATTGAGAACTGATTCAGGAATGAAAGGTTCCTCAGCTGATCTAAATAGTATTGACTAGGAATTTGATTCCATATGCTTTTCAACTTTCTCTCAGTATACGTATCCATGTTTTATGATCTAATTTATATGTCAGATTTTGTATAGAGGGAAAGATCAATTACTAACATCTGCAGATTAAAATGTAATCCTTCCTAAGTATGAAATAGCAAAAGAAGAATACGCAGGCTATAGAATTGTCAGCATGTTTATAAATATATGACTCTGGCATGTATGATATATACCCACTGTCTATACAGTGATGACTGCTGCCGTTTTCTACAAGGCTGAAATATTCCAGTCTGCTTGACACAAATTACTGTGGTGGCCTTGTACAATCATTCAGAAAAGGACAATAGTTATTCCCTGGTTGACACTTTAAAAGGGGGTATCTTTTACTGTATATTGTATGCTCTGTTTAATAGAAAAAGATGAGTTCTGCTTACCAGTTATCCTTCGAAGGTGATCATGTGAGATCCCACAGCACAGTTTGAATGTTGCAGGCAGCATGGTCTGGAGATGTCAGTTGCCTCCTGTGTTCAGTGCAAAAGCTGACCGTGGCACTAGTTCATGCCTTTATAGCGTTAGTGAAGGACAACACCTGATGATATGGACCATGCTTTCTGATAGCAGCTGGGAATGAAGAATATCCAAGGACAAAGCAAACAAAGGGAGGGGAGAAGCAGAGGGAGGAACTCCTTATCCACATAAGTGAAAATTTGCAGCTTTTGCACATTTCTTTTTTGAGATTTAATAATAATTAACCCTCGCCCAAAGTTTGGATGGTTACTGTATTCCAAGATGACATCAATCAGGTACAGATACATTTTTTTAAAACTCCTGACACTTTGTTGGTCTCTCTGAACAAACTACAACATACTGTGGAGAGAAGCCACAGCCATTCTGAAGTGAGACACTGCATTACAGTCAGCCTGAATGATACCCATGTGCCATGTCAGCTGCTTGTAAACATCTTATTGATTTTTACTTTCTAAGGCACTTGGCCCTTCACCCCCCTCTACCTGAAGAATCTGATGCTTCTCCTCTGCTTATTGCTGTACTGGCTAACTTCATGTAGGAATTGCAAGCCCTGTTTCACTGTGGCCATACAGGCTTTGTTGAATATGTGCACAGAATGAAATGGTTTTGTTTTTAAAAGACATATGAATTTAATCCCAGGCCTATTAACTGCTGTAGTGTAGACTGGATGCTTATTGATGCCCTATTGAAAATGGGAAATGACGCCTTCCCTGTTAGGTGTTGCTCATATACCAGTCACTAAACACTGGATTGCCTCTAAATAGTGGTTTCTCTAGGATGGTACCTGTTGTCTGACATCTGTCCATAGTAGAACTCATGATGTTGCAGTTGTAACCACTGATGTTGTCATTACTTACATTACATCTGTACAATACTTTAATTTGCTAAGGAATCAGCTATCTGGCATGTCTGAGTAAATGGAGGGTCATGCAGCCTTTTTGACCATGGCAAGATAACACCAGATATAATTGGATTGTTAGGAAGAATTATAATTGACTACGTATATTTTGGCTTCTACAGGGGCCAATCAAGTGAGCAGCTTTTGTAACTCCTGGCTACAGTTTCTGTGTCTTGGTGAGTCATGGGCTGCCTCGCTCTTCTTGCTTGCTATAGTTAACAGTTTCCTGTCCCTTACCCCTTTCCTATCAGGATGTGTGGTACCATTATGATGAAGACAGTAAATGTAAGCATTTATTATATGTTTCCAGGGGCTTTCCTATATAAGGTCTGATTCTGGTTAAAAGAGATAGTTAAGTAGGGTGGTTTTTGAGCTCCTTTGGTACCAGGAAAGTATAGAACATTGGAGGAAATTCAGAGGCATGAATAAAAAAAATTAAGGGGCTGGAGAATTTATAAGAGAGTCACATTTTAAAGAGAGAGGTTGGATCCAATATACATGGATACAGTGCATGTATATTGAGGGCAAAATGTCTCTTTGAACTTTGTTTTCTGCCAGCACGTTTTCACTGTTCTGCTTGTATTTCTGAAAGGGGCATGTGTGTGCTGTTCAAAAATCAGTCAGCATCAAAGAGGTCTGCTCCATCATCCAGCGTCTGAGTACTAATTGCTCAACCTTGCATTACATGATACTCTGTACAACACAACACCATGTCAGCATTTGTCTTGAAGGTAGCTTTCATTGGCTTTTTGACTATGGAAAAATACTAAAGCAAATTCTTCTGTTGCAAAGAACTTACAAAGGCCACAGCAGAGAGCAGTGTTTTTCACACTATGGATTCCTATTTGAAATCTCAGGTTGATCTTGTGAATCAAGTGCCCTTTCCCAGACAAACATAACAATAACATTTACAAGCCACTTGAACAAAACACAGAATTTCAAAAGCTTTAGCTGTTAACGAGGATAACTGGCAATGTTCAGTTAGTCTTGGAGGTGCCCCATTCTTTCATGTGGACCTGCAGGATTTCTTGAGACATCAGCATCAGCACCGTCAGGCTGTGGTTAATCTATGAGTTATGGGTGGGCCACATCCAGGGACCTGGCACTCTGCCTTTCATGTGGCTGTTATATTTTTGAGATTTTCTTGGCTGACTGTGCTGTAGAACTTCCTTCCTTCTGAGCTTCAGAAAGGGTGTTAGTACCTGTTTATCCACAGTATGCATGTCTGTGGTGCAGTGGCAATGCATAGGGGTACACGGGAGTGCATGTGCACCCCCTGAGAGCACTGGTGCACCCCCTGACAGCCAGTGCTCCCTGGTTAGGCAATGGGGGGTGGGGGCAGGCAGGAGGGTTCAAGCTTCCAGAACGGCATGGTCGACCATGGGGGAACACCCCCTTCCCCCAGTTGCTGACTGGCTGTTGGGGGGGCACATGCCCCCCCTGACTCAGGAGGCACCAGTTGCCCATGCTGTGGTGACAAATTTGTATGATCACAGGCTGCTTCACCATGTATAATATTGCTTTCATGAAGTATCAGCAGCACTGAGGATCCCAATCCATAATGAGATTTTTGTTTTGCCGTAGGGTTAGAGTGTTGCTGTAGTCAGGATGGTTGAGGCAATGTACATGAGGCAAGGATTTTTGGGGGAGTTATCTTGTCTGTTTCTTTACACATCTGCAAATCCCCAGGGACACTGATACGGGTTTCAAACTGTTCTTGTTCTTCAGTCTTTTGAATAAAATGTGGGCAAGTGACAACCCAGTCTTTAGTGCTGTTCTGTAATTTAACACTGCTAAATCTGGATGAGCCTAATCCTGCAGTCTTTCTTCTTAGGGATAATTTTGACCCTGCTTTCTGTTAACCCATTGGATTGGAGGTACTGGGGCCAGCAGTTATATGTCAAAACTCACGTCACTGGAATTTGTTTAGATTTTTGCCCACTGAACTGTGAGCTATAGTTAGACATTGCTTCTGTCTGGCAAAGCCAGGTTTGATATGCCTGATAACCTGTTTAGCTGTTGTATCTTTTAGCAAGTTTGTTTCAGGGAAGACAGAATAATAGTCTAGGACAAATAAGTGTATTTTTGGTTTTTATTTAGTTTTTCCAGCCTATGTAAAGAAGTCTCTGCCTGCTGTTTTCCAGGAGGCTAATATTCCTGTTCTGCCAATGTGAACTTTTTGACACATGCAGCATATCTCATCTGCTTCATTTTCCCCTGTAGTGCAGCACTAATTTTCTGCATCACAGTTTCATAGTTAGTCTCATTTGCCTAAGGTAAGAGGAAACTATGTTAAGTTTTGGGGTTGTGTCAGAGTTGATTAAGAGTAGGTTCAGGCTTGATATCAGGAGGCATTACCTTAGGGTTAGGGCTGCCAGGCTGCGGAATGGGCTCCCAAGGGAGGTGATGCTCTCTCCTACCTTGCGGGTGTTTAAGAGGAGGTTGGACAGATATCTGGCTGGGGTATTGTGATCCCAGCACTCGTTCCTGCCCAGGGCAGGGGGTCAGACTTGATGATCTGTTCAGGTCCCTTTCAACCCAAGAAACTATGAAATTATGACTGTGTAGTTTTGCTAAGAGGTTAAGCAATGGATTTATATAGGATGGTTTGGGTAGGGATGATCCTGCTTCAGGCAGGGGGCTGGAGTAGATGACTTATGGAGTTCCCTTCCAGCCCTATGTCTCTATGATTCTATGAAAATGTCAAATGCTTCAGAGTGAGCTGTTTGCAGTAATAAGGCTACCTTCTGACTGGCTTCCTTCTTGCTGGCAACTGCTGCTTACAGGTACAGAGTGAAATACCATTTAAACACTTGTGCCCTCCATATTTTCAGAGTTTGCAAATCTGTCTTGGAGTTAAATACTCCATTCTTCCATTCAGACAATTTACTGTGATCATTTTAGTCACAGTGATATGTGGTGATCAGAAATTACTAAGGGTCAAGGGGTTGGGCAGAAGTCTCTTATATTCAGTATCTGAGTTGCAACTGATCAGTGTTGCATAATGTAAGCCTCTATATAATACAGCATATGTGTCTATATAATATAACAACCAGTTCCAGCTGGCTCTTGCAAGAGCCTTTTAAAGTTATAGTTACCCACAGGATTTCTCTGGGGTGCCCTAAAGGATGGAAATGAGCCACATGGATGTATGCCAAGTTCAGATGCCAGGGCATTTCTAATGTAATATTGTAATGTAATAAAATGAGAGCCTCTGATATAACCCTGCTGTTGCTTCATCTGCTCTCCAAAGTACTTGAGTGCTACTTCAAAGCCAAGAATACAAAGTAATTAAGGAAAGAAGAATGACTATAGAAATGGTTATAAGTAAAATTCATGGTTCATCCAGACAACTGAGCATTGAAGTCCCAAGAGGGCTCAAGAGGTTTAAAGGGCTCTGTGAAGAGAACTTCTGATCTTTTCAGACATCACAGTTTTCATAATTGATTTATTTTCTCCTTCATCAATATTTATAACACTTGTAGGGACCTGAAATAAGAGTGTCTCCCCTCCACTGTACCTTCCCCAGGCCTGTTTAGGGTGTAAGTGTAGTTGGTGTGGTTCAGCATGAGTTCTTGGCTCTGCAGGCTCTAGTTTGTTGCTGATGGATTGCACTGGTTTGCTTTATATAGTGTTATTAGTTGCACCAAGCTCACTGCCACCTGCCACCCCACTTAGTCCTTAGGATACTGTGTACTGAGGTCAGACTTCTGGCAGTGCTTCACAGGACTGGGGTTCTTATTTCCATACTTTTTGAACCCAGGGTCCCAGGCAGGTGCCCTTTAATCCTCAAGTTTATTTTTACCCTCTCTCCAAGAACCAGTTGTAGTCCTAGTCCCCTAATTACAGTTGATTCTGGCATAGCTTGAATGAAACAATGGCTATGGGAACAAGGAATAGGGATAAAACCAAAGTAATCCATATGTAAGGAAGAGATTTTATATTTAGTCTAAGATGTGGCTAACTGTTTCTAGACAGGGCAAAATCTTAATTACAGTGTGTCTAGTCATAGAAGAACCTCAGTGGTGTATTTGGACAGTTCATTCTGTCGGTGAAAAGTTCTTCCATTGTCCTTCCCATGTTTGTTATCCATTTACTCTGGGTTTATCTCCCTTTGAACATTAGTTGTGAAAAAGCCCCTGTTACTGTTTTCGATGTGATGGATGAGATCCAGGACCAACTGAAATCAATGGGAGTTTTGCCATTGATTTCAGCAGGGCAATCCAAGGTCTTCTATTGTACTAGTACACAGCGTGGCATTTTTTGGAGTGAACTTATTGTCTTTTCTTCTTTTTTTGGCTGGTGTTCCATTGTCACAATCTTCAATGCAGCCGCTTGATAAAGCCTTGAAGTTGTTTTCCAGTTACCTTATGTTAATTTTTACAAATCCTTTGAACCTGAATAGATCTTTTGGCAGAGACACCTAAATGTATTGTGACAACTTTATTTAATGCATATCTGAAGTTGCCCTTGTTGCAGTAATTTCTCTTTGCTGCTGATAGCTTGTATTTTTTGATTTTTTTTTGTTTAAAAACCCCCCAAAAGGAAATGCTTTTCTCTACTCTCAA